AACGGCAAGTACCAAGTACGGAATCTAAGCAGCAGAAATGCGGTGCATGTGTTTGGATTGTTTATTGGCTTAGTAGTGGTGTTGCCGTTGCGCTGGCTTCAAATCGGCTATTCTAGATTAAGTATTCACTCACGCACTAGGAAGAAGATATTAGCATCATGCCGCTTATCTCGCAAAGGCAGGGCAAGCTTTGCAAGCAACGCTCTGCGCGAGTCCTCTGTCGCCACCCCCACTGTAGGTAGTTCTCAATGGTCATATTAACGCAGTCCTCTATTGAGCGTTTTGATTCGAGTGTGTGCTGAAGTTGCAAGGCAGCTGTTGAAGGAAGTCCACTGCGGCAATAGCTCCAGGACCTCTGCAGGTTTGTATCAAAACCTCAGGCAGTTAAGTCCGTGAGCGAGAACTCCTCGCTCAGCCAAATATTTGGGACAAAGAAAGCAAAACTGCGCCAATAAATTGATTGCAGATGTGCAACGTACCAAACAAAGATTGCTCAACTCGCCCGCTGCTGAGGCCTATAAACAATCGCACAACGTTCAGACCTTGACGACAGAGAGCCTGAGCAGCTTGCTTGCATGAAAAAAGGCAAATTGCCCCAGCGCGCTTGCTTGTAGAATCAAAGGCAACCAAAGCACACTTAACGTATGCCTTGTCCATATTCGTTGTCTTTGCAGTCCTTTCCTGTTCCTTTCATCGGCCATTCGCGATGCAGGGCTTTCCTTTCGCAGCAGGATCGACCTTTGCATAACTTAAGATTGGCAATTTGGAACATTTGCAGGTCTCACCTTCATATCCCCCCTCCATTCCAACTCCCCAATCCCCCGCCCGTGTGCCTTTCTTCTCGTAGGTGATGCCGCAGACGGCTCCCCCCTTGGTGAGAAGCTGCTTGGCCTTGGCCTAACACCGACATCCAAAAAAGGACCGAAGCGCCGGTGGCCAAAGGAAAGGGAAGGAGAGCCAACAGAAACGGCTCCGAGAGTGAGGCCCAAAGGTGCGGCCCCAGGACTTCAGGAAACGGTGGAACAGTTTTGGGACCTGATGAAGTACTCATACTGGGGCAAAGCCATTTCAAGCTCAAGCCAAAGCTGAAAAATGCCTGGTGGGTGGTCTCCAGAATTGCTCTCTTGCCAGTCACCCAGTCCGTATACCCCGAATGGCCTTTCACCGCTGGGTACAAATGTTGATAGTTACTTGCTGGTGGACACCATAGATTGTCGGAATTGATTCATGTCCACCATGGCCTGCCCACAGCGAGACTGTCCCTCAAAGGCCTTGTTGATGATCCGCGCCAAGTCGGACCGCTCCGAGATCTTCTCCACCATCTGAATCAGCGCATACGTGATGGTCATGCCTGGCAACAGACGCAGCTGGCGCGCAAGCGATTTCTCACATGCCATAAAAGTCCTCCACCAATTGTTCCTTGTCAGAAACCGGGGCCTCCAGCTGGCCGATCTGGGTATGTCACGCCAGAATAAACAAACCATAAAACCCTCACGTTGATTCGGGTATGAACTTTCACGGGTGGCAACCTTTGGTGGAGTCCTGCTTACGTTCGGATTGATGACCATCCTGTTTTTAGTTTATCCCAACCATCAAGATTCGGTGCCATCCGCACTCCAAAAACAGTACGGTGTTCCTCCCTTCAAACTCAAGAAAACCACAGGTTACCTTTGCAAAACTACAAAGGTAAAGGTAGTGTGCCAACTTTCTGGAGTTAACGTTCAAGGCGATCTACTAGTTTTCATGTTTGGCTCTTGATTGTGCCAACTCCACACGCCACCGAATTCCCGCCCTGTGGCCCTGCCTGGGAAGCGCTCCTTGCCGCGGTGCGTGCGGGGCGCGGAGTGCCCGCCCAGGCGGGCCAACAAAGACCTGCCAAAGAGCAACTTGGGTGTGCCGTTTGGTTGAGGGTACCCAAAGCTTTTGGGGTTGACAATTTCTGGGGTCCATCCCTCTCGAAAACGACACCCCTGAGTTCATGGGTGCTGTTGACCCTTGAGAGGCCAATCAATCCACAATTCATACGCAACAAATCGCAGCGGAACGCGCCGTGTCGAGAAACTTACCATAGCCGCAGCTGAGATCTGGGCATGTCCAAGTCGAACTTGTCCACCAACCAGTCAACATCAGGTCCGCTGTTGCCACAAAGCACCTAAGCCAGACTCAGAGCTGATGCCCCACTAGTGAAATGACAGCTGACGGCTGTTCCAGCTGGTGCATGGCTCATGTCGGCCAAAGCGAATGTTCTGTTGGGACCTGGCAAGCATGGTGCCGGGAAGAAGGTTTTTTTTTTTTTTTTCATACTTCCCCCCTCTCTTCCCCTCTCTCTTCCCACTTCCCCCCTACTTCCCCCCGGTCAGTATTTCCCCAATTCCCCCCACAAACCAAAAAAAAAAAAAAACATCCCACTTACATCCCCACATCCACATCCCCCTGAGATTTCTCAATGCAAATCCCAAATCCATCGATCCAATCCCGGCATTCGGCGTGCAGCATTCGAATCGCTTATATAGCCGAAGGCCTTCACCGGGGTCCTTTGGACCCATTTTCTGGGGCCAGCTTCGCATACCTGGAGTCTTCATGACCCGTTCAACATATTCAAGGGGTCATAACTCATTTATTTGAGGGTGATGACTCCAGGTACCAAGAGGAATGTGTTTTCAAAGTCCCATTTCGTCGGTTTAGGTTTCCCAAACGGATGGCCTTCACCAACTCCGGCTTCTTGGCGCCGCCCTTCAGCGTGTCGGAGGTGAAGAGCGCAACGGTGTCCTCCACCTTCTTCTCCTCTGGAAAAAGCTGGCGGTGTTTGGGGGATGGGCTAACCTTTGGTTGTTGGTGGGCACTGGTAGCCCTGGTTCTTGAGGGTAAATGGGAAACTAAACCAAAACCACTTGGATTGAAGTTGACCGAATTGGCTGAAGCGTCCAAGGATTCCTCACCGATCCGCTTTTTCTTGGTATGTGGTCAAACTAGGCCCGAAATAGTGTGGTTTCTTTTTGTTCACGTCCCCAGGGTCGCGAATTAACCGGCTTTAGGTAGGAAATCAAAGAGATTGTTTTCCCTTTTTTGGGGGGGAATCCCTGAGAACCTAGGATGAACCGGCAAATCGATGAACTGGAAGGGGATCACACGAAACCACAGGGGGGATGATTGGGGTCATTCCCTCATCTGCTGAGAACCAGCAAGTCACTCCCGAAGGGTGGGGCCCTTTTTTCGGGGTGGACTTGTGTTTGTTGGCTTCTTGTTTTAGGTCACTCTTTTTTGGAGCCAGTGCGTTTCTTCTGATTGTTGTCTCTGTTTTGGGCAGGGGAGGGGGGATCTGTGTGTGTGTGCACTTTGCTTGTTCGAAGACTGCCTCTTCTGCCCGAGGTACAACACGTTTGGAGCTTTCCTTGTAGGAGAGTTACATGTTCATTCAAACTGTGGATTGAAACCCAAGGCCAAGAAGCAAGCTACGTGGCTCCGGAAGTGGGTCAGAAACAGAAACAGCACGCCTTTTCTTAGGGCCTGAAAACGTGGTCCCGGATTTACGTCTGGGATTCCTGCCCTTACAAGCTCAAATCATCTGTAATTGGGCACCGATTGATGCAGATCATTGAGGTGGTGATGCTGTCACGTCCACCAACCATTTAGGAGCGTATTCCTCTATTCATCTTCACAGCCATATGGATTGACACCGCAAACTTCAAAAGTTGTGGCTTTGCCTCTTGCTTCCCTTTGAACCAACCTCAAAAGGGGCACCAACTCCAGCAACCATCTGCGTCTGAAGCGCCTTCTGCGTCTTGGTCTCAGCCCCGCTGATGCCGCTCGTGGCCTTGGCTGACAACAATCCCACTGCTTCATTGTCATGGTCCCTGTGACCCTGTCGATGCTCCGCAAACTAGTGTCTTTTTGGTTTTGAGGCTGTTCAAAGAGAAACCACCAGAAACCAGCCATTGGTATTGGGGGACCTGTTGGTCCAGGACTGGGATCAGCTTCCGCTCCGACCGCGCCTTGGTGGAGTTGCCGCCGCAGAAGGCGGACTTGTCCACAAGCACCACCTCTCGATAAACGGCCCAACACTGTTAACACGATGAAGAATCTTCCCGCAAAAGTTGCACTTGGTTTCCCTTGCAAAGCCACCGCCAACCAAAGTACAAACTCCCAGGGAAGCAGACACATGATGGGGTCCACACCGCATCTCCCGCCCGAAACCAGGCCTTGCCACCACATTCCAACACGGTGTTGGCAGCAGACACGCCTGCTAGGCCGCCACCCACGACCTCACTTGGTTCAGATCAACACACAGCCGCGGAATCCGCAGCATAAAAGGAAGCCGGGTCGGAAGCAGGTGGATCCGACTTGCGGGCCCTGGGAAGAACAATGGCATTGTCTGAAACAAGGCAGCAAAGCCAGAATAGCCAGAGTCCCTTTCATGTACATGCGCTTGTGTTTGTTTGAGGGCATCCCTTTTAGGTCGGTTTTAGAAGTGAAACCAAAGGGATCACCAGCATTTTTCGGGAGTTCCCCTATTTTAACACGCAGCCATGTGCAGCAAATCCAATTGGTGGCAGTCCAATCTCATGCAAATAGCACTGAGGCCAGCGGCAATCGCCTGCGCCATGCTCCAACTGGCTACGGAGGATTTCGAGCTTGACAATTGGCCTCCAAATGGCTACGATGTTTATGAAGGAACCTCCTCAAAAGTTGTTGGTGGACATGAATCCCCACCTAAACAAACGGTGCCCTATCACCTGAATGAAAAGCGAAACTTTTGGCCGTTTTGGCCCTCAGCGGTCCCAATCCTGAAAATTTTCGGGTGCGCCTCATCCCGGCCCCTGCTCCAGTTGCGCTTTGCAGACGGAAACGACAACGTTCCTGTGGCGTGTTGTGCGGAACCGCGTGGATGTTGACTTCAACCAAGCTGCGGCTGCCATTGTTGGTTGTGTGGGATCTTGCGGCAATTCGAGCCCTCCTAAATTGCCTAAATGTCGACTGCTCGAGTGCAAAGGGAGCATGAAATAGTTCTCAACGACAACAAAGAATGCATTTTCCAGCATCCTCCCCACTTGCTTTCCAGTGATCATAAAACAGCGAAACACTGGGTTTCATACTTCTTTTCGGAGGACCAAGCCTCTTCTGCCAGCACAAGCTTTTCTCACAAGTCGCGCCCGAGCCGCTTTACAAGGCATAGCCTCGAGGCGCGGAGCGCGGGGCTCACTTTGCCGGCAAAGACTTCCGAAAGTCACGGAGCTTTGAGACGATCTTCTCCTTAGCTGGACAGGGCGAGTTGCGGACGATGAACGAAACGATCGGAGCTGTGTCCCCAAACCACCGCCAAATGCCAAACTCCGAGCAAGTCGAGGGGCAGTCTTGCTTTTGTCCATCTTCAGGGTGAGGACCTCCCCTTCGTGAACCACGCAGCGGCCATCGATCCACACATGTGTCACCTCACGGGCTTCGGATGAAACGACTTCCAGCAAAGCTTTCCGGCGCCTCCCGCGAGTTGGTGTAGACCAAGTGCCCCAGAGGATCAAAGATCGGAGATGCCTGTGCCCCGATTCACGGCATGGGCAAAGGTTGGGCGGGTTTGGTGGGAATTTGGTTGGGGTTTGGGCGGGTGGGGCATGTTTAAAGCTGTCCAGTTGCCGTCGCCCAAAACAAGTGCAGTGCAACCGGTTTCAGTCGACACATGGGCCCCTTGCATGCAAATAGACGGAGCACACAATTCTGCTCTTTGGTCGCCCCTTAAAGACGAGTGCGCAGTGGATCCTTTGGGCTTTTCTCGTCGGCCCACACGCCCGAACTCCACCCAAACCAGCCCACTCAATCCGCAGAACTCCATCAAACCCTCACGCACCCACAGTGAGGCCTTGCCTGTGAGGGCCACCACCACGTCACGCATTAACGCACGCACAATGACGCAGACAAAAGGAAAAACTGGCCTGACATTCCAATCCTAACGTAATCCCCCAGATATGGCCCAGTAGAGGTGAAAAGCACTGCGCAACCGTTCATTGCGGATAGCGCAGCTAAAGCCTGCTGTGAATTTCACGCCATAGCAAATACGCTCGCAAAACTTTTGCTTGGCGACAATTGCCCAAGGGTTCCCCACACCCGAAGACCCGCCCCACCAACCCAACCCCACTACCCCACCCAACCATACTAGAGATAGTAGAAACCAAGAATATGGTCCACAGCGCCTGATGAATATCAAATAGACGACCCAACTAGCCAATTAGCAACCTAGCTTTTCCCGGACCAACCACCCAAACCTCTCACAAACTCCACCATACCTCCATTTCCCTTAAGGATCTTTTGTGAAAAGCAAGGACAATTTGGTTTTGCTGTGCCGGGCGGGCTTCTTGAAACCATAAAAGTAATAGTTTCCAAATTCTAGATACAAATGTGGACAGTAATAACATCCTAAGATAGGGGAGAAATGGGCAGAATATGATCAACAAATGTCCCTCTTTCTGGTCTTTGCTTGTAGCATGCTAGGAATGTATAATGGCATCACCACCAATCACTTTGTTCTTCCTCCGTTCCACCCTTTGTCTTCATGGCTGTTAACCCTGCGCAGGTCTAGCTCTCAGGGTTCTGGCTGTGCCTCCACCCCGGCAATCTTGCATGCTGCCATCGTCCTTTTGCTGCAATGGTTCACACACAGTTCACCCCGTTCACCCCGGGGAGGCCCTCAGATTGCAAAAAAAGTCCGAAAAGCACAAGGCCAAACGCAAGGCGCAGACTTCTACACCCCCCTACAAGCCTCAAGTGCACCCAGATCCACTGCCACCACATCTGCGGCCTTGCCAGCCTTGGCTGCCGTTGCAAACAGGGCGCCCTTTCGCCTTCTCTGAACCGAGGACACCGCAGCTCCCCTGTTTGTGCTGCCTTTTTTGAGGAATCCTTTGCTTGAACCCCAATGGTTTCATGCTTCTGGGTTGTGAAACTCTCAGTGATGTTGTAGATTGCATCGCGCACTCATGGTCCAACACACTCAAGTGATTTCCTTGCCCTCGTTGCAATCGCTTCAAAGCCACTGCTTATCACTCCTTCCACCAAGAAAACAGAAGCAACGCGATCAAACTAAAACAGTGCAGGACTCCAATTTAGTGTTTGTGTGTGTGTGTGCGTGTATTGAGAAAATATGTTTTTGCCCACCGCTTTTCGTGGGATAACTTGAATCACATAGTGTTTCGCAGTTGGGGCCTTCCAACCCCGCTGGTTTGCAGGGTAAGCAACCCCGCTGGTTTGCAGGGTAAGGTCAACCAGAATCCAAAAGCACACCAACCATAGACCGTAAACCGAAGCGGCCCTGGTGATATCCTTTGATGCCATCCCATGCATGCTCCCCGGCTCCCCTTTGCCAAAGTCAAACCTTGGTCAAGTCCCTGGTCAAGTCCTTGCAAAGATCGTCAAGTCCTTGCAAAGATCTCCACTAAGGGTATTTGTCTATGGATCAAATGGGAACGCCAAAAACGGTAAGTGGACAATCATCCACATGGCCAGCATGTCCAAAAATTGCGCAAAACATCAATCTTCATTCCCAATTATGTGGGAGGTGCTGTAGAAACTTCACAACCAAGCAAGCGAGCAAGCTGTTGCGAGCACTGCATGCAGTAGGATCTTTCCTAGCGGCCCTAGCAAACTTCCTCTTGCAGCTCCTTTGGCTCTTCACTCGTCCCGCCCTCCCATTGAGACCCTGAAAAAGGCCCCTGGAAGCCATTGAAGTCATAATCAAAGTCGTGGCCACGATTTGGCCTTTTCGGGCCAAGAGCTGCTAGCTGTACTGTTTCTACACGTGTGCTCAATGTCTCTCAACATGACACATAAATGGACATTCACAGAAAACACATGTCCTCTTCAAAGGACCCGCAGTCAAGTCAGCTTCCATGTTGGAGGGTGGGCTCCTCCTTCCCTCAAAAAGCCGGTTCAAAAGAGACACCCGCTCTGGTGGCCCGGGTGCTTCACTGAAAAAACGGATGGTTCGCCTTTGGCTTCCCCTTCAAACAACTGCAAACACCGCATGGCCCCCTCCCCAGCTGTTTTTTAGCGAGTCGCCCGCAGGGACCCGGTCTTCTCCCCGAGGCCCAGCGCCTTGGCGCCGCTCAGCGTGGCCATCTCCAGGGCGCTTTTGGCCGAGAGCACCGAGGCGTCGCGCGCGGAGCCCTTCGCCAACATCGAGGCGTACTGCATCCTCGGCGGGCGAGGCGGAAGGAACTCTTCTTGTTTTAGATGACGGGGGGGGTGCTTTTAAAACAAGAGGCCAAACCTTCAGAAGAAATGGGGGGCTAGTTGTTCCAAGTTTTCACTCCTCAAGCAGGTGTGGTAAAATGAAGCCAGAAGCGGTCCACATTGTTGGTGTGTCTGCGTTGTGGGGCACCCGTTTTTGGCGTTCTAAGGGGAAAACCAAAGGACTTCACAAACCCGAGCGCCCCTTCTTGGCAGGAATCCTTGGTTGTTTTTAGGATGCCAAAAGATGAAAAAGCCTCCCCCTCGCCTCGCCGCCTCCACACACCAAGTAGGACAGGGTCCTTCCCAAAGCCAGGGAAATGCGTGTCCCAGTTTTGGTCAATTTAAGACACCCACGTAGATGTCCGGCTTTGGCGGAACGTTGAGTGGGTAGTTGCTGAGTCTCTGGGGGGAGTGTCGGTGGGCGGCAATGTTTGCTGGGAAGAATTTGGTGATTGACTGTTTGACTTTTGTTTTTGGGTGGCGTGGGATGGCAAACGTCTGATCTTGTCCGTGCCCAAACTCCAAACAAAGAAAAATCCACACTCGCAAAACAGAAGGGCCTCTCACCCTGCTTCTACGCTTGAATTGATTTGACATCACCCTTTTGACCTCTGGGAACGAGTACCGGGCTATTCTTGAGGGTGGCTTCTTAGCGTATTGCTCCGGCCGTGGGGCTATGGGTCTGTCGAGAAAAGGACCAAGTCGCTGGATATTCTGAAACGCGGCTTTCATTCTCCGATGTTTGAGGCTTGGCCTTTTGTCCGTGGCTTCTTTTTTGGAGCTTGGGCCGGCATTGAAGTGGTTTTGTTTTTATTGGAAGGGCCAGGAGCCGGGACAAAACTGAAAAGGATACAAAATGGGTGCAAAGGCGACCACGAGCAGCCGACGAGTAAGCGGAACATGGAGGAAAACAAAAGGCTGAAAAATGAGAAGCTCGGGTTCCAAGAACAGGTAAAGCAGCAACCCCGTGTCTTGAGCCTCTGCGTTATTGTCCCTTACCAAAAGGACCCAAACCGCAAGGCCAACAGTTTACCTCAATGCAAGAAAGCGTCTCGGTGAGCATATTGAGGGTGTTGTTGGAGCACGCCCCATCGGTGCCGAGGCAAACGTTTACTCCTTCTTTCAGCATGTCGGCCACTCGGGCGATCCCTGAGCCCAGCTTCAGATTGCTCCTCGGGCAATGCGCCACATTGGCTCCTCTCTTGGCCATCAACGTGATCTCCTCGTCCGTCATGTGCACGCAATGCGCGGCCACAGTCCGGTCATTCAACATCCCCAAGCCATCCAGGATGTCCAAAGCGGATTTCCCCGTCTTGTCCAAGACATCTGAGATCTCCTTCTGCGTCTCATGCACGTGAGTGTGGATCACCACTTGCGAACCTGCTCCGGCAGCTTCATAGGCATCTTTCACTGCCTTCAGCTTTTCTTCCGGCACCATGTACACGGAATGAGGCAGCAGGGAAGGTTTGATGTTGCCCTGGTCCTTCAGCAGCGAGGAACAAAAGTCAACGTTCCTCTCCACCAGCTTGTCAAAAATGTCGTCATCGCCAAGATACAGCAGACCGGCTTGCGTCAAGACCGCCTTCATGCCAGCTTCCTCAGCAACGCACTTCGTCACATCGCCATGGAAGTACATGTCATTGAACAGGGTCGTCCCGGTTTTCAGCATCTCATAGCACGCGAGCTCTGAGCCGCAACGCACAAACTCCTTCGCCTCCTCGTCCGGGGCCTCGAACACAAACTTCCCCTCCGTGGGGAACACGTGTTCAAACAGCCATTCGTT